AGGTGGTGATAAACCAGCAGGGAATTTCATAAAAACCTCTTCTTGTAAATCACCATGTAGAAAAGCGTTATTAACATCTAACTGAGAAATGTTCCAATTCTTTTTTACTGCAATGGCAAGTAAGCATCTAATGGTAGTCATCTTAACCACTGGAGAGAAAGTCTCAGTAAAATCAATACCCTCACGTTGAGTGTCTCCCCGTACAACTAAACGAGCTTTGAACCTTTCTAAAGAACCATCTGATTTATACTTCACCCGATAAACCCATTTGCAAGGGAGAGCCTTCTTCCCAGGAGGCAAGAGAACAACTTCCCAAGTTTTGTTGGCCTCAAGTGCATCAAACTCCTTGGACATAGCAGCTTGCCAACCAGGATAAAGAACAGCTTGAGAATAGGAGGTAGGCTCAGAAATGTATGAAGTAGAATTAAGGAGAGATTGATTTGTAGAAGATAGAGCAGAGAAAGGTAAAATAGTAGGGTCAAGAGAAACTGAAAAACATGATTCAGTAAGTTGAGATGTGACAAAAACAGAATTACATAAGTACTCAGCAAGATAAGAAGGAGGTTGTTTGACTCTATTAGACTTCCTAGTAATAGGGAGAGGGGGTGAAGGAGTTGTAGAAGAAGAAGAAATGTCGGCATGTAGAGGAGAAGATGAATGTGATGATTCGAGAGGAATTAAATCTGAAGTAGAAATATCAAAAGGATCATGATCAGGATAAGAAAGAGAATGAGCATCCGGAACAGGAAATAGATGCTTATGACTTGAAGTTGAGGAAAAAGGAAAAATAGATTCATGGAATTGAACATGTCGAGAAATAAAAACCTTCATAGTCTGAAGATTCAAAAGCCTGTAACCCTTCTTTCCAAAAGGATAACCTAAGAAAACACTTGGTATAGACCTAGGATCAAACTTGTCTCTCAATTGAGAGATAGTACAAGCATAGGTTAAACAACCAAATGTCCTAAGAGAATGATAAGAAGGAGGCTTACCAAATAAGATTTCATAAGGAGTTTTGAATTGAAGAATGCGAGATGGGAATCTGTTGATTAAAAAAGTAGCAGTGAGGATACAATCACCCCAAAAATGAATGGACAATTTTGATTGATATAAAAGAGCTCTAGAAGTCTCAAGTAGATGTTTGTGTTTCCTTTCAACAATTCCATTTTGTTGTGGGGTGTATACACAAGTTGTCTGATGAATGATACCCTTTGAAGAAAAGAATTCTGAGATTTCAAAACTTCCCCCAAGTTCCATGGCATTGTCGGTGTTGTGCGGAATTTGAGATAATACGAGAAAATATAAAATGCGAAAAACAAGACAACAGATTTACGTGGTTCACCAATAAATTGGCTACGTCCACGGGAAGAGAGGGAGCAGTTTTATTATGGAGAGGCAAAAACAGAATTACAGAATAGGGTTTGCCATAGCATCTATATATA